ATGGAGATATAACTCAGGTATGACTGTACATATGGGCGAATTGTGTTCATTTTGTGATATCTAATATCTAAAATGATTAGATTAAAATAAGCTAAATACCGATACATACTCAATTAGACTATCTTATTGCAGTGTGATCATATTTAGATATCACAAAATGAGCACAATCCGCCCATATGAGTTAAATCAACATTTTGTAAAAAAAAACTTTATAATAAAATATTGCAGTATGAAAAGCCATTCTTCTAATAATATGTAATACAACCAAAATTTTTATTTTTTTGAATTTGCAGGGAATTGATTAAAATCCTGCAACAGACAATTGTCGGCCTCTTTGTCATTACCAATTTATTGTGACATATACGAAAGAAATCTGCAGTTTTGACTTCGAACGAAAAAGCAGAATTCACGAAATTTTCTAATAAATGATTAATATGTAAAGAATTCGTTCGAAATTGTATTTGCTTGTAGTAAAACTATTTGCGAATGTATGTTTATAAAAATAAATTAAAAAGTTTTTATTTTAATTTTGTTATTTATATAGTACGTCACGAAAATGTGTAAATTATCTAACAGAACCTAAAAATTATCTTAATAACCCTTTTTTAGTAATTGTCGCAAGTAGCAAGTTTTCCAATTAATTTATGCGTACAATTTATTTTGGATGTATATTATATAGTGCAGTTCTAAAACTGGTGTTCGTCACTAGTATATAAATTATAAACAAAATATTTAATCTAGCTTAAAAATTAAAAATACATGTATTAGAAATTTGCAAAGAATTTTTTTAACGATTTAATAAATGTGAAAATTTTGCTTCATCGATTGCTTTAAGTTTGTAAAAATAATGAAACGAAGTTCGGATTCATGACATTTGTTTAATACAGTCAACTATTTTTATACCGGATTTTTGGGTCTTATAATTAATTTTTTTGTAAAATCCTTTATATAGCTTTTTACTAATATTTATATAACGGATTTATAATAATAAATTTTAACATTTTAAGTCCGTTATATAGGTGATTTTTATTATATGTCCGTTATATAGTAGTTGACTGTAAATTGTATGTTCTGCCACACAAATCTGGTACATAAGTTAAGTGGTCACGATTTAATCAAACAAAATTTTGAATTGTTTTCTGATCTATATCTTTGCTTCTAATCCTAACGTTCATTATAAACAGATTAAGAGTGTCAGGACAAGTTTATTTTTATTGGTTGGTTAATTCGTGTTATTAGGGTTAAAATCAGAAAACCTTATTTTTAGTTTTTCAACATAGTAAAAATGCTATCAAAAAAAATTTATTTATTTTCGTAATGCGTCACTCATTTGTTAGCTTTGAAACCCCAAATACATGTATCTTGTTTCTGAATTAGCTAATAAATTTGATTCATAATGCATTAGACATTTCATAATAAAAAGCTACTTAAAATTTAAATAAATCGTTGGAAATAAAGTTAATAAGTATTTACATTGAGAAATCTGATGACGAACAATCTAAAATTTTACCATTTATAAATTACGATATAAATTATTTGACCCAACTGGAATTATGACACTCCTAATAATGTCAACGGATAATGAATCAAGTAAAAAAAAAAAAAAAAAAACTTTAATAAATATGCACTTATACTGATAAAATAATATGGCTAATTAATTGGGTTTCTGATTTTACTTCATTTAAATTATAGTATTTTTTACTGTTAATTCAGTCTGTAAAAGAAAACAAAGCTACTTTACATTATATTAATTATTTACAATTTAAATGCCAACCAATGAAAGTACTGTATTTGTAGCAGAAAAACACCCATTATTATGCGATTTCCTTGTATGAATATACATTCAAGGCAATTCTAGGATTCTACTAAATCTCGAAATCTCGTCTTCCCATAATTTTATCTTCGCTAGCTCTATGTTTACCAAGTACCCCTTTACTATAACTGTTTCCCCTTTTTTTACCTTTACCATTATTGCCTCCGTTTCCGTTTCTCATCTTTTCTGCTAATTCATCATCACTATAGAGATCCTCCAATTCACCATCAATTGTTACAATTGAATTTCTGTTATTACTTTTAGGTAATTGACCAAAACAATGGGCAATAGTCCATGAAATTCCAAATAGTTCGAATAGCCACATCGAAATCAAATTCGCAAGTCGAATACGACAAACATTGAATGTGATGGATGTGCTATATGTGGCGGATGATGGACAGTTGGGCGGAATTTCGCCTAGTTCATTTTTGGTAAGGATCGTGTAGATTACTAATATGAATAATATACAAGAATAAGTCATTGTCGATTGTGAATTTTTTTTTTTTTTCCCAGAAAATTTATAGTCATTAATTTACCTGCAATAATAGTCCATGCGACAACTGCCGGACTTCACTCATATCAATATAAAATTAATTTTGTTAAATCGATATTTATGATTAGAGAAGAAGAAAAAAAAAAATTTAATATTTACATAACTCCTTCTCTGGTGACTTCTAAGAACGATTTTAGTCTGCACTTATGATATATTCCACTTATGAGTAGACACACTACAATAAATAGTATTTTAATTAAAGAGTTAAAAAGATCCGTATAGCAAGTTTTAGATAAAACATTCAATAATGTAAATACACGTTAAGGCAAACGATAATTTTTGGAATCAATTATTTTTTCATAGTTGTATGCATATCTAAATTAGACAAAACAAATTGTAAATAATATTGGTGCTTACTTGGTATTGAGACAGTAAGTCCCAAATAACTTTTTTTTTTTTTAAAAAAAAAAGAATGGTTTAAATTAACAAAGAACCAATCGTAAAATTTTTTTCAAAACAAAAGTTACCTTTCTATTTCTCATCGAATAATTCAAATATAGCTTACCAATATTCGATAATCGTATTTTCATATTCCAATTCATCTCTGAGGTTTACGAATTTCGTGATTTCTATAATTATGTTAAGATGCAAAAATATGGTTTAATAAAGATATTAGTAATAGTTATATTAAATAAAGAATGAATTTGTACGAAAGGTTTACCCAAGATAGGACAAATTATTGTTAACAATAACAGTGGTGTTCCTAATAACGCTGCGATAACGTTTTTTTTTGTTCTAGGCTTCATCTTTTAAAATGATGTACTATACATAAAAGATCTAAATGAATTCTGTATGTAAGAATAGTTTTATTTTTACTGTTTTCGACGGAAAAAAAATGTCAATTTTTTTTCAAAATTTCAAAAAAGAATGACGCGAAATTGCATGATTTCGAAATGTGGTGTATTATGTTAATTTACACGAATGTGTATAGTTTTTTTGTATTAACAAGTTCATGTTTTTATTATAAAAAATGAATTAAAAAAATTTGTAATGAAGAATTACCAAATTTATCTTCAAAGCCACATTTATCTCTATTATTATGTGTGGCGAGTCATGTGTAAGAAAGAAACACGAATTAAATCTCATTGTTGTGACTATTTTGGTATTTTTATTTTGTCTGCTATTACAAGTTCTATCTCTATCTCTTTTAATAAAACATGTAAAAAATTTAGTTATGTTAATTATTACGATATATTAATGTTATTACCGTATGTACTATTCAAATGGTATATGTGGTAAATTGATTGTAATTCATAGTCATTAATTAATGAAATTAATCATGATTTTTTCAAGTTTTATCATATATTTACCATGGGACTACGCTCATTCACCGAACATGTATTTAATCAATAATGAATATTCTGGATCAATTATGTTAGAAAAGGTTTTTTTATCGTTTTATTGTTTAATGATTTTTGATTATGAATTAACTTGCAGTTTCCGTATTATGATAATGAAGACTCTTATGCAGACTTCTATATAGTTTACGGTATTTTTTTAAAATTGTGTCTTAACATTGCACTATCAGCTATTGTTGTTCATAGTCACTAAGCCACGGTCACATTATGAATAGATTAGTATTAGTAGCGCAACCAAAATTCAGCAGATCGGCCCGAATTTAGGGTCGGAATGGGCCGAATTTGATAAAATTTTCTAAATTCTCCCAAATTTTTACTAATAAACTGGCAGCCTAGATATTAAGTAAAATTGCTCAGCAACTAATTTTGCTATAGTATAGTGCTAGTATGGGGTTCTACCCTGAAATCCCGAAGGCCACTTTCCCGAAAGAACATAATGCCGACTAAATTAGCCAGAATTATAACTAATGCTGGCTAGTATTATGTCCTTTTCGAGAATCTGTCTTTCGGGATTTTGGGGTAGAACCCTAGTATGGTTAACCAGTATTATTGCTTAATGCCGGCCAAGCTCCGGCTTATCCCGACCCTAAATTCGGGCCGATCTGCTGAATTTTGGT